CAGAGCTGGCTGCTGTAGGAGGGAGGGCTGTGGGCAGCCCAGGGCACTCTCCCAGCACACAACCAGCACACCATTCACACAACTCCCAGCAAACCTGCCCCACTTCTGTGGGAGGCTGGCTGGGATGGAGGCAGGGTCTGACATGTGTAAATGGGAGAGCTTCTATGAGCAGAAAACCTTCACAATCATTGCACAATTCCCACAGAGAGCAGAATTGCAGGAAGAGTGCTCTATTTATGGCACCACAATGTTTTAAAGAAGAAAGCAAGGGGGTGTTTTTCACCACAACTGCTGCTGATGTAAACAGAAGCTGCAGATGCTCAGACTTTCTGAGGGGTCAGACCCTGGAGCCAAATGTAATGAATATTATGGTTTGTTTGCTTCTTCTTTGTTGCCTGGTTCATTCTGCAGCCCAGAGCTGCACTGCAGAGCAGTGCCCAGCACTTTGGAACCTCTCCCCTCCTCTGACTGGGGATGTCTCAGACATTAACCCACTCACACTGCACCAATGTTAGGAGCTCTAGAAATTACCCCAGCTAGCATTGTAAGAAGAACTTGCCCAGCATCATCAGCAAGGGCACAGCCATGTTAGTTTCCACCCCTTCAGCACCCATGGAACAGGTTACGAGTTTGTGATACGTGAGGGGTTTCTTTTGGGGCTGAAGCTCCAGCACAGAAGTCTTTGCCCTCAAATGGGTACAGCAAGGAATTTAAAGTGATTTTGGTATAAACAGACAATAAGATTCAGCCAGAGCAAAACCCTGTGGCCTCACAGGGCTGAGGATTGCCTGCTTGTGGGGCAGTGAGGGCCAAGCACCAGCCTTGCTGGTGCTCTCTGTGCCCTGATAGCTACTGTCCCTCATCCTCCCACATCACACAGCAAGTTAAGCTGCTGCTCACTTCCCCCTGCTGATTGGGAGAGTCATGGTTTGGCTCTTGGCTGTTTATATTTTGCAGACATCCCCTGTGTAATTGCATGGCCTGGCCCCAGGCTGTCAGGCTCTGGGAGAAGTAACCACATTATTCCACAGAACAGTTAGCATAATTAAAATATTGACTGCAGATTAAAAAAATGTGCTGAATGTTTCACAGAGTGGTTGGAGGGTTGGCAAGCCTTGGCAGCTTGTTGGCTGCAGGAACTGGCTGATATTTAGGAGTGCCTTCTCCTCCAGTAGTCACTGCTGTACGTGGGAACTGCTTTTTGTGCTGTCAACTTCTGATCTCCCAAGCAGCCAACCCACAACCAGGAGAAAATGAACTGACTGGAAATGAGGTGCTCTAAGGGCTCTCTTGTGATTCTCATTGCCAGTGAGACCACTTCCTTGTTATTTATGACTTCAGGACATCTGTCTTGCTATGCCTCTATCTATTTTTATTTGTGTCCATCTCCTCCAATGCACAGTATAGAAACTGCATATGGTGAGAAGAACTGCTTGTACCATATGAGAAACATTAATAAAGTTAAAAAGCCCACAAAAACCTCCACTGAAATGTATGTTTTAGTTGCTATTCCTTCTTTGACACTGGATTTCTACCTGTGTTTAATCTGCCATCAAAGTCTAAGGCATAAAATCCTTGCATTTCCACAACAAGGAGGGCAGAAAGGGAGGGAAGCAGCTCAGCTGGCAGGGCTGGTGGAAACCACAGAAGCACTTATTCCTACAGGGCACTCAGGGAAACCTCAGTGTCCTTGTGATATCCCCCCATTCCCCTTCTTAGGGGAATATCTGGGACCATAAGCATTGCTGGAGAAACACAGGTTTGGGTTAAAATGATTTCCTGGTTCTTTGCATAGCCCCTAGCTGGCAAAAAACTTAACATGACCTCATGCTGCCAGTATTAAAACGTGTGGGGGATGTCTAACCCACTTTGCAGACACCTACATCCTGAAGGAAACATAGCAGACTCACTAAATCAGCTTCTGGTTCAATCTTCACTTCCATGCCTGAGAAACTCCTGGCCTGGGAGGAGCAGCAGTGCAGTCTCACAAGCAAGGAGCAGGGACAGCTGAGCTGAGCTTGTCCCACTCCACTGCAGCTCCCAGGGACAGGGCTCTGATTCACAGCCTCATCTGCAGCTCTTCTGAGATGAGCTAATTTTGTGAACATTTCTATTTCCACTCAAGAGGTGTCACAAGAAATGACCAAATGCTATTTCCTGAGGCTTCAAAGTGATCATAATAGCAAATTAATAGGAGATCTACTCTGCCATTTTCCATTCTCATTGCTATTGCTGTAATCAAGATCAGCTCTAATTCTTCAAAGGTTATTTCTGTGGTACTTCTCATTTTTGAATATGCTGCTGGGAAAGTAGCAGAATATCTTGGCACTCCAGCTGTGGTCTGTGGGCTACTGCCTTCCTTCTGTGTGAGGCTCATTGCTGTTTTCTGCTCTCAACTTAATACTGACCCCCAAACTGTAAATTATAAATATCACCTTATGTAGGCACCATGCTTTTAAAGGCAAAAAATATATTACTACTTTAAATCTCTTGTAAATTAAGCCCCCAGATAAACTCAGTGGAATGAGAAAAAAAGATGCTCTAAATTCAATACAAAGAAAAAGAATTTCACTGGGCATGCATGATGTGTGTGGGGAATTGTTACAGCTTTTCTCTGCTCTGATAGTTCACACAGCCAAGTTTTTAGTTTGTCTCCACTGAATGATTCATCTCTATTACCAGCATTTTGAAAATTAAATGGAAGAGGAGGAATGTGTTCATTCCCCTGCTGTGTTTAATAATCTTCCAAAAATTGTTTCCTGTTTACTTGGAAATCCCAACCTCCATGCTGTGATTTAGGCATTTTCACCCTGTTAACTTAAAAACAAAGCTAGAAGATGCTGGATATGTATGATCTTGCAGTCATAAAGCAATTTATGATAAATGTTGTTGTTCCAGAGAAAAATTACTTGGAAATGTACATATGTTCATAGCTTCACATTCCTGATTTAAGTCATAACTGGTAGTTGGGAAAAAAAATACAAATTGTTGCTCAGTTTTTATTTCTGTAACAGGTCTGATGGCAGCTTCTCTTTCAACAATTACTGTACTGGTGCTCAAATACAAATCTCAGTAAAGACATCAATAACCCCATTTAGGGGATTGTCCCACTGTCCTCCATGGCACTGGCTGGCACACAACTGTGAATACTCACTGGGTATTGTTTCATGCAACACTTGTCTATAAGCAAAACTCAGGGTGCATTTTCAAGGAAAATTATTAAAAATACTTAAATTGATTTTCCAGCTGAAGCATTATCTCTGAATTCCTGTGGCTTGGCTGGACAAAAGGGAAAGAATTTTCCCCTTAGCTTTCTCAAGGAATAAATTTTCACAGCAGTTTTGAGATTTTACTTACACATATTAAACTCTTCATTTATATAAGATTTGCATTAGCTCACAAAAGTCAGTGTGTTCTGTGTTAGCTCATGTGAAGAGTTCATTTAAAAGGCATCAATATCCTGTGACCCAGGAGCAGAACTGGAAGCTGGGCATTCCGAAGGGATCTGAGCTCCCTCACGCTTCCTCTCAGCTTTTCATAAAGGTCTGCATTTTTCCAAATGAGCATTACATTTATGTGATTAACTGGAGGCCATGTGAGCCTGATTTACAGATGTGTTAAACTTCCACTGCTCTTGCTAAAGCCATGGGGAGCTCTCAGCTGTCCACATTTCTGGAAGCTGTGACAGCTCCCTGCAGCTTTTGGGAGCACAGTGACACCACTGCCTTGGGGAGCACCTTTGCCTGCCCTTTGCAAGTCACTGTGGGCTTCTGTCTCACATTTTTTTCCTCTTTTCCTCTCCCAGATGAGATGGAGCAGTCCCCTGCAGTGCGTTCTGACTACTTGGTCTCAGGGATTCGAACTCCACCAGTGAGGAGGAACAGCAAACTGGCAACACTGGGCAGGATCTTCAAACCATGGAAGTGGCGGAAAAAGAAAAATGAGAAGCTAAAGCAGACGTCTGCAGGTAGGCTGAGAACAAGAGAGGGATCTGCACAGCAAAGCTTTCATGGGACATGTTAAAGGTGACCTGAGCCAAACCCAATTCAGAGATTCCAGCATTCAACAGGTTAATAATGTTTAAGGCTAGGAGGGGCCCATAAAGGCTGATTTCCTATATAACACAATATAGTACATTTAGAAGAGAAGGTCAAAATATGAGAGTGAAGCACAAGCCTTGCCTCCAGACTGCTTTTCATGGGCTGTCCCTTCTCCACACAGGCTACATTTATGGCCCCGAGTATTGTCACCCCTTTTATTTGGGGTGAAGTTTATATAGGTCACAGTAACATGATGAGAAGTGACAGGAGGGAGCTGCAGCATGTGAAATGCCTTCCCTCAAGCAGCTGTCTCTGAGGGGAAGGAGCCCAGCACACAGCACAGCATCCCCTCACTGGTCTTCAGGGATGTCCCAGGAGATCAGTACAGAGACAACCTCACTTGCATTTTCCTAAGATGGGATGCTGCAGTTCCCTCCTCTTGCTCCTGTATCCTGTGGGAGTGTCCCAGTGAAGGACACTGTCCAAGGCAGACACAAGGTGCCACAGGAAGCAGCAGGAAGGCTCTGAAATCCCCGTGACTCTGCACTCAGAGTGATCTGACAGCACCTCACATCATAAACCTCACCTTTACAGTGGTGGTTTTAACAAAGGAAGAGGCACAAATAGCTGACCAGTCCATGCTCCCCAAAACAAAATCTTTGCAGTCCTTTCCAAGCACACAGGAGCTGAGACTGGAGGGAATGTCCATGTTGCCTTTCTCACCCCGTTACATGACTGCTCTGTTGGTAACTGCTGCTGTGTTGTGCCACTACTTTGTGCAGTGCTGGAGAAGAAGATGACAGCGCGGCAAGGGCGGGATGAACTCATTAAGAAAGGCCTTCTGGAGATGATGGAACAAGGCAAGTAAAAATTCTTAATGTTATTTTTTATCAGAGGCTTTTTCAGGACAGCAGGAAACATATTTGCAAAAGCAGAATAAACAAGGAAAGGAATAAAACCCTTCAATACAAACAGAAGGAAAACTCAGTGTTTGAATTTAAGGCTTGTCATCCTTCAAGCTCCTCCCTGCTGCAATCAATCCACGTAGTTTAGTGTTTGATGCTCTCCCATCTTGAATGCAGCTCTGTCTTCCCTTGGTTTACACGTGGTGCATCTGAACTGGTACGTATGTTTTATGTAATTGCTCTAAACCCAGCTAAATCCTTCTGCCAAGAAATCCAGCTCAAGCTGGATAAATATAAACTTCAACATACAGATGCAGTCAGCCAACATGACCAACCTATGGATCCAAATCCCATCAAATGATCCTAATCTGATATTTTCAGCTGTTCTTCCACTAAACCAAGTTTGTGATGTAACGTGTTACGAGTCTGCCTGCTTTTCATTCCCGTGGAAAAGTGAAGCATTTAGCGGGGTCATTTTAAACTTTCCTGAGTACAAACCAGAAGTCATGGAAGGAAAATGACAAAGTGTCAGAAACACTCACAGAGAACGTTGTTCTTGTGCTCCAAAGCCCTGACAGATGCTCAAGGGAGACACAGATCTGGGTGTCTGTTCTGTGAGATTAACTGAGCTCCCAATGTTAAGGACAACATCCCAATTGCCATTTCCACCTAAACAGAGATAAACCCCACAAATCCATCTTTACTTTGAAAACATCATAGCAGAAATACTGTCATGAAAGAGGACTGGCCTTTTGAGTTTGATTAATCTCACAGATAGAAGTTATGTTCTTTGAAAGTAGTAATTGAGTTTCTTTTGTATAAAACAAATACCATGCCAATAAATAACCCATGGGACAATATTCAGTGATGCCATACTGGAGTGAAACCAAGCAAATGAAGAGTCAGAAAAAGAGCATTTTAAACAGGATTTTTTTTTTTCCCATGGGAGTAAAGCAATTTTAATATTTTTCTCTTGGATATATTTTAAGTTTTATGTTAAATAATCTATCAAACCATCCATTTATTTTAAAATGGAAGTTCTTATAAAGCTCATTTTTAATTCCTGTCCATTGAAGTCTTTGTGTCTCTCATAATTCTAGATAATTAGTTGCCCTATTAACATTACTGTACATACATGATCTCCACGAGGAGCAGGGAAGTTCCTTATAATCCATGAATTTGAAGACATGCATTTCCCTATCTCTGCAAAAAAAGAGTAAAATAGAAGTTCTGTAGAGCACATTAAGAGGTAATAAAAAAGAATCAATAAACCTCTTGCATGCATAAAGAATGTTTGGGAGGAAAAGGTGATGCCAAGCAGCAAGACCATTTTGACAAAATTAAAATACTTTAAATAAATATAGTCCAGTAAGGTGTGAGGACAAGCTGTGCTTTTAACTAGACAGCTGCAAACAGACTGCTTACCTGTCTGCAGGAAAGCTGCCTGGAGCTCCTATAACCATCACACAAATTTCCAGTGCCTCCCTGTGCCCAGAAAGGGAAGAATGGATCACAGTCAGCTGAAGGACATTGCAGCTGCCTGCAAGTTATTTTCTTTACTGAGTGTTGTGAATCTCCAGGGTTATTTTATTATATTAGTAGAAGCAGCTTATTAGCTGGAATAAAAAAATTGACCCAAATAATTCTCAGTAAATGATTAGTGCCCTACTTGGACTGAGCTGAAGTGGCAGCAGTTTCAAGGCTAAGTCCTCGTTTACGCAGTTAGGTTGCAATTGTCAAAGCAGCAATACTGTGCTAAAAGAGTAGAGTAAATCCTCAAATCCCTCTATTCCATCAGGGAATCTTCACTTCCAGGGAGCTGATTCCGGCTCACTTTCATAAATAGCCCAGCTGGGATGATGCTGCAGCCTGAGAAGCACCATGCATTTGCAGTGGGTGCCACTCAGCCCCATAGCCTGGCCTGTCAGCAGTGTTTGGCAGTGGCCCTGGCAGGGGCCTGTGAGGCTCTGAGCTCTCCTCGGGGCTGATGCAGATCTGCAGGGCTCTGGGAGCAGCCCAGGGGGGAACTGCACTGTCCTTGTGTGGGTGATAACCCGGCAGGCTATGTCACCCTTTCTCCTCACACAACCCCCAGTCCTGGCTGCCCATTCACTGCATGGCCTGGGCCACATCTGTCGCCTTCTCTCCTCTTGGCTTTGCTCACACAGGGCAGATGCCAACCTGCCCTTAGAAAACTCCTGAAATGCAGCTTCACTCTGGGGAACCAGCTCAACTCCTGAGAGATTACATGCTGCAGGGTCTGGCACACAGCGGGGTTAATTCCCAGCAAAATCACAGCCCTGCTCCAGGTTACCTTGGAGTGCTGAGGACTGGTGTTTTCCTTCCCTGTGGATCTAAGGTCTGTGCCTTGTCCTGTCCCCAGACTCTCTCTAAAATACCACTGGCACACAAAGCAGCACACCCACTTTGATCTAAGCACAAGCTGACCATTGCTGCCCAAGAACATCGCTGTTGTGTCTCCAAAATCCTCCAGCAGGAGCATCTGCCATCCCTGCGCTAGTCACTGCCCCTCCCGGGCCAGCTCTGGAGCAGCCCTGTCTCTGGCTGCAGGGATGGCTCTGTTCCATCGTGCCACAGCTGCCAGCAGCCTTTCCCAAGCATGTGAGGAACGTGCAGAGTTACCTTGAGCACATTTAGGGAGCTCCCACCTCGATGTTTCTCCCCTTTGTGAGCACGAAGCTGATGGGGTTTATCTGTACTTACAGCTCTGGGGAAGGGCTGCCTGTCAGACAACGCGGGCAGTGGTTCATACACCGATGATTATGTACAGGCTGCCTTCACAAATGAGCTCAAATGTAGGCAATGAACTTTTTCCCCCCTCCCCTTCCCTGTATCATAGCAACTGTGCTACTGCAAGGACTATTTTAAGAACAGTAACTTTTCACCAAACGTGATTATGAGGCAGACTGAGTGAGCTCAGTGTGCAAAAATACTGCATCCGTTCCGCAGCATCTCTGGGCCAAAATCTGATACCCTCACCCGAAAGCATGAGAAATTACCCTGCAGATTGTCCAAATAGCATCAAAAAGAGGTAACTGTGAATGTTACTATTTTAAATCAATGTTCAAGGAACTTGTAATGATATCACTGCAAGAAAACACAGCCCTGTCAGGAGCTTCCAGAAAGGAGTTTCCAGGACTGAGAAATTCAAACTGGGAGGTGAAGGGTGGACAGCAGGAGAGTCCATCAGCATGAAGAACTGGCCAGGGAGGGAAGTGATTGCTTTCTGTGGTTTGCAACAGTGATGTAGATCTTGTAAATTCCGAGGGAGTAAAAGGGTAGTTTGTATTCTGAGGACCTGAATAGGAGAATACTAGAAAAGCTTCAGTCATCAAGATGCGTACAGCTGCAGGGATCACTGGCACAAAAATCTTTCAGAGTAAGCAAAGGGAGCAGTATCTAGGTCTGCATGAGGAGGGATTTGAATTTCTGATCAGCTCAATCACACAGGACACACTTTTCAAAGATGAGTAACTAAAACTGTGCTAAAAACCTGCAGCTTGGTGGGGAATATGAGCAGCCTTGCAGCACTGCTGGATGGCAGCGAGTTGTGCACAGAGCCTGACACGACCCAGACATGGCAGCCCAACCTGGGAATGTGCTGCACCATAGGCTCTGCTCATGCAAGGAAGGAATTGCCTTCTTCCAGAGACCTTTGCCCATTGCTCATCTCCCCCATGGCAGCTACTTCCAGAGCACAGTGGCCATTTGCTGAGGCAGCTGCTTGCCCACCCAAACAGGTGCCTCCTTGAGAAAACTGAGTTTTTGTATCCAGATGAGCTGTGTCCTCAGGATTTGCATTACAAGGTAGTTAACCCAGAGATGAGGTGCTGCTCTAAGAGAAGTCTCAGTCCCCTGAGCATGAGCAGCTTTGATGCTCCCTCTTCTCAATGGGATAGCAGGGGAGCCTCAGCTTTCACTGCTCATGGTTCAGTTGATATTAAATGGTTTGTTGTTTTAGATACTGAAGGCAAAGCCTGCGCTGGTGATGATGCCACGAAGGTGACGCAGAGCGAGGCTCCAGCAGCCGTGTGCCAGGCACTCACCTCAGAGGAGGAGCAGCAGGAGACCACAACAGCAGCCACAACTAATGTGACCTCCTTTGCTGAGGAGCTGCACTTGGATGAGCTGAAAGAAGATGCAGGTATTGGATATAAAATGTTTTCAAAAAACTATGAAGTGTTATAAAAATATTTCTGCTGAGGAGTCAAATATCTCAGTGCATCAAAGGGTCAAAGCACCTTGTTCAGCTCAGCCCCACACTAGGTTAGCAATTGTTACTTAATAGCAGTGATTCTTGAGACTTCTACCAAGCTGAGGAGCTACACAAAGCTTGGCACGATGGGATTAGTTGAATTATGAGATGATCCAGTCTTGGCATGGTGCCCCTTGGGTATCAGCAGTGGCTGCTGTGAAGATGAAATAAGCTTCTCTTAAAAAGATTTCTTAAACTTCTGTGCCAAGCCTGAATGTATTTGTCATGGCTCAGGAGAACAATGTCAATACACAGCCCACACTGTCCAGATCATCACTCTGTGCCCAGCATGCTGCAAACACCAGTGAAGCTCGATACCAGGAGCAGAGATCAGCTAAACCAAGCTCCTTTCATGCAGCTCTGCTCCGGTGAGCTCATCCATGAAAGCACTTCCTAGGGACTGGAGCAGCCAGGCACAGCCCAGGAGCTGGAGGTTCCATTCACTTCCTGACAACCCAGAAATGCAAAGCTGCAGAGATAATGATTTATCCTGGTTTGTGAGGACTGTCATATAGTAATTATGGATCTTCCTGGCCTCTGGTCAATCTTTACCCTTTCTCCATCTTCCCTGGCTGCCTTTTGTTCTCTGTCCCACCTCTTCAGGCTCTGCTTTCTCAGGGGTCCCAGCCCCTGGCTGCTTTCCCCAAGCCCACCCCTGACTGCTTCACCCTCAGAATGGAAATAATTCCCTCTTCAGATGAGGCAAAACCTTTTCATCTCCATGTTCTTACAACAACCAGATCAAATCTTGGCCAGATTACAGGTTTCTTTTATTCTTTCTCTACTCTGGAGCATTTAATTCTGTATCACTAATGAAATTTCTTTCTGAACTTTTAACTCTTACCATTGGGACATCCTATCATGGAAAGGTAGCACTAATAAGGTATCATGTATTTAACCTTATGTCTCTGCATAAACTCATAGTGTGATTTAAAATTTACTTTACAATGTGTTCAAAATCATGTATTGAAGCTTTCAAAATCATCCCAGTTTCTTAGGTCTTTTTCCCTAATCCTTGTTCCTTTTATTACCTCCCTGAAAGAATCTTTCCTGTCTTCTGTATTTCTTTTCCTCCATTTTTTGAAGTGTCATTTTCCCAGGTTCCACAAAAAATAACAATGGGATTACATTCTGTCTCCCTAGTCCAATTTGTAGGAAGTATTTCTACCTCTCCTATTGGTGGCCTCTGGCTTTCAAAAAATTATTGCTGATCTCATCTTTATATGCTTATTTATCTCTGTCTGTACATCCTAGTATTCCTGTCTCCAGTGAGTGCACCTGAAGGAATTAATTGGGAAAGCTCTTCCAAACTGTCAGAGTGTGCTGCTAAGTTTATAATAATGTTGAGTTTTTTAAAACATTTTCCCTTGGGCTCAATCTAGGCCTAATGCAGTGGGTGCCTTTCCAGAAATTTATGTTAATAAGTGACCAGCTAGAAACAAATGAATGGATTTGCTTTATACCCAATGTGTTCTATGTCATCCTGAGGATGTGGGATAAAGGCCAAGGAGGAGGAAACACAATTTGCAGACTTCATGTTCATGTTAATACACAGAAGAAGAACAGCCAGGGCACAAAGAGGGCAGTTTTTCCTACCTAACCTTGCCAGTGGGCTTGGGGACAGTCCCAAGGGGAGGATTTCTACCTGGTAATGAGATGGCATTTTGACAAGTGGCACTCCATGAATAATTCTCTGCTCCAGCAGGAGCCTAGTGCCGAGCACTTGGAATACTTTCAGCAGGATAATATTCACTCTGCAGTATGAAATCTGTTAATGGGTTTGTGTGCTCAAGATTCAGATCTGCCTGACACCACTCCCTGAGCAGGGTGGAGCTCAGGACCGAAAAAAGTCTGGCTGGGGCTGGGAGTATTTGGGATCCACCTTCTCTGTACAGAGGTCCCACTGTGGCTGCTCCTCTGCAGCTGTGCCAAACAGCCCTGCCTGTCCCAGGGACACCCCCTGATTCCAGGGGAGCCACTGCCAGAGAAAGCATTGCTCCTCTCAGGGGAATGCACTCAAATCTGACTAATTTTCCTCTCAAGCTCCTGACATCTACTGGGGCTCTTGATCTTTCTATAATGTAACCCATTAGTGACTCTATTTTTCCCTTCCTCTATTACACACTTTGTCTCCTGTGCAGTGGGTACAAACATCCAAATGATGTTACACTGGAACAAGACATTTCCCTAGAAGTACTTTTTAAAAATTGATTTCCTTCTATAATTCACGTAACTATCCCATACAGCAGCTTTCCTGTCATGACAAATTTCACAAGAACTCATGTTAATGATGCATATTTATTCTTTCCTGTCTCTTTTGAATGATAAATACTCATTCCTCCCCTTCTAGGCACACTCATTAATCTGTTTGTCAACAAATTAAATGCCATTATCTTGCCAATGCTATTGTTTCCAAGTGCCTGAGTGCCTTGGTGCCTCCCCACGCAGCACTCTGAGCACGAGGCTGCTGAATGTTCATTAACACAGAGTTTGAATTCCCAATGAGGCACAAAACTGAGTCAAGAAAAGATTTGTGATGCAGTGAGTGCCACTGCAGTGAGATTTTACGAGGTGCCCTAGAATGGTTTGGAGGGACAGGTACTCTGTCTGGTTAGACAATCCAGAGTGCCAAAAGGAGTGGGATTTGCCCAGGAGTTGGGACCTCTCTCATGACCCCAAGCTCTGGATCCTCAGCACAGGAAGACATGGACCTGTTGGAGGTCCTGAGGGCACCGAAAGGATCAGAGGGATGGGACACCTCTCCTGAGAGGGCAGCCTGAGAGAGCTGGGGTCATCCAGCCTGAAGAAAAGAAGGAGATCTTGTTCCAGCCTTTCAGTACTGAAAGGGAGCTTATAAAAAAGATGGGGACAAACTCTTTGATAGAACCTGTTGTGGTAGAACCCAGGGCAATGTTTTTAAACTGAAAGAAGGAAGATTCAGGCTAAATACAAGATTTTTTGAGGGTGGTAAAACCCTGGAGCGCACTTCCCAGAGAGGTAGTGGATGCTTCATCCCTGGAAACATTCAAGGTCAGGTTGGATGGGACTCTGAGCAAGCTGACCTCGTTGGAGATATCCCTGCTTATTTCAGGGGATTGGACTAAATATCTTTTAAGGTCCCTTCCAACACAAACTATTCTATGATTCTGTGCTTAGGAGAGTTTTAGATACTGATCTCCCCATTTGGATGAGTGCTTCCCCCCCTCTGGGGTAGGAAAAATAACCCTCATGGCTACTGCTGAGCCTAGAGTGGCTGGAAAAGCAATTTGGATGGAGCCTGGCTGTGGCTGCGATCAGAGTGAGCCTCAAGCCTCTCAGTGGGTCCCCACACCTGCCAAGGCAGAGATCAGGACATGTAACAGAGTGAAAGCCCAGCAGTGAGGCTCTGTGTGAGTCTGGGCACTGCCAGGGCAGCTGTATCTGAGCAGAATTCAAGGATGCTAATTTTGGACTTCATCACTGAAATTCCACCTGTGTCCTGCTTCAGCTGCATGCCTTTCTGGATCTATTCCCCTGTGCCCTCATCACAGCCTGGTCAATTTGATGAACTGCTCAGTGATTCAGCCTGCACTAACTTTCACAGCTAAGTGCTTTTGCCATCCTTGCAGAGACAATCCTGAAATGAGCAGTGATTCACCACCTCAGACTAGGGCTTTGGAGACTGATTTCTTTTCTTAAGTACTTCACCCATTCCCTGTTCTACTCTAACTGCTCAGATCCAATAGCAAATCTTTTTTGTGACAGGCTCTTTTTGGCCATCAACTTTAACCTCAGAAAATGCTCAACAGCTCTGGAGTCAGGTACAGTAAAAGAAGACTCAGGAAGCAAGTTGTGATCATGTATTAAATAAGATAAAAATTATACTGGGAAAAGAAACACACACATCAACTATTGGAAAGTCAGTTTTTAGGTAATATTCTGGGTTTGCTACTCTTTGCCCTTTGGCTGTTCCTAGACAGAAGAGTACTCACCCAGGAGCTGTGCCACAACAGCTGTGTGCTCTAAGAAAACTCATTGCAGTTCTCAAAAGTTTGCTTTGCCTTGCTATCCTCATTATTTAGAAAAAGAGAAAAAAGGGAAGTAAAGGAAGCTCATCAGTTTTCTCAGGAACATCAAAACTAACATTTCCTCAATATCCTCATGCATTTTATTCTTCACCTGCCCTGGCTGGTTGGCTGTTTCACACAGTTTTAGCACTGTGAAAAAGAAATGTTTCTAGCTGTGTGCCATGTGTTCAGTTTTTCTGAATGTTCCTGGCATTTTCCCCTGGCCTATCATTATTAAATTCATGTTACATTAATTTTACTCATCTTCCCACTAGCCAAGAAACCTTCAGCACCCACGGAAGAATTGGAAGATGCCAGCCTGCCAGCATCTGAAGACACTCCACAAGCCTTACTTGTACCTGAATCCACCGATTCTCCCCAGAAGCAGACAGAAAGAAACCCAGCACAGCTTCCCAGCCCTCCATTGCTCCCAGCTCCACCACCTAAGGCAATCTCCAAAATCACCAAGAGCATAACAGGTCAGTCATCACTGCTCAGTAAAGATTTCCCCATCCTTGATATGCTGTCCACCTCCACAGCACTATCAAATCCTTTTCTCATGTCTGTTTTTAACCCCCAAGCTGCTGAGAATCAAGCCAGTGATACTGAGTGAGGAGTAACCACGCCTGGTTGCCTGAAAACAATGTACTGATC